GAAGAATCAGATAAATCTAAAAATAGAAGCAATTTTTCTTGTCATGCGGGGCTTTGGTATGTCCTTAGTGTCTCTAAACACTACAGAGTCCTTTTTTCCCTCAGCATTAACATTGAAGACAATTGCTTGGCTTGGTTCCCGAGGTTGTAGTCTTTAGCTTTGTATTTGTATTCTGTCTCTCTGTTGAGGGTCTAATATCAATGACCCTGTGAATGTTACTGGCTTACCTTTGTTTAGTAACAGGTGGTGTGGTTGAAATCTTTTATGGTAGTGATACCAAAAAAATACCACTCTGCCATGGTGATAGGGTTGACAAGACCTGCTCTCTTCCAGCACTTCTACAATATGGGACCATGTATGCCACTACGAACCCTTCCCTCTCTCTTCCTTCGTGTAACACAGAACCCTAATGAAGCAGCAGGGCTGATTGCAAAGTTAAATTAGGTTGCTCAGAGCCTTGTGTAGCCGTGTTCTGAAACTACCCAAGGATGGAGATGCCACAGCCTCTCAGGGAATCTGTTCCAGTGCTTAATAACCCCCACTGTGAAGAGTATTTTCTTTATACCTAGTCAGAAATTCCCTTGCTATGCCTTGTGTCTTTTGCCTATTTTCCTTTTGCTGCGTACCTCAAATGGGAGTTTGGCTCTCTCTATTCTCTGCCTATTAAACATTGGATGAAGTGCAAACAGATCCTCCTTTGCTTTCTCTTCTTTGGGCCAAGCACCTGCAAGTCTTGTACTGATATCTCAAAAACGTACTTAGCATTCCAGGTGTTTCCATGTGAGGGGGATATTCACTTTCTTTGACCTGTATATATTTATATAAATATAAATGTTTGTTGGTTTTATATGTTTGTTTTCCCATTTTATATAAATATGGACAGGCTGAGGTGATTATTCACCTCTACTCTGTCTGTATATAATTATGCATAAATATGTGGAATATTTATATTACATTTTGTATTATCTATATTTACTTATATGTATGGATGTACACGCACATACACGTATATCAAGACTGGTATTTGAAAGGGATTTGCCATCCTGGATGTAGTCTGAGTATGTACAGATTAGAGAGCAGAGTGTAACCGAGCCTGTTGCACATGCCTGGTTAACAGCCGTCTGCATTTATCAAGAACATACAGGCAAAGATACATGGGGCAAGTAAAGATAATATTTTTCAAAGTTCCTGAAGGGCGAGAACTTACCCGAAAGAGTTGCAGGTGTATTACATAGCCAGATTTGTTGTTTTGATTAACAGCATTGTTTTCTTGTGTAAAGCTTGATTAAAATATTTTATTTGCTTTTGTTCTTTTGAGTATTTTCAATTATAATAGATGCTGCATTTTTACTTCCAGTTTTCAAGAGATGAATGAATCACAATGAGCCACTATCAGTGTTTGCAAATATATCTTTCTTATGCAGATCCTGATTACTACTACAAAGAAATAATTGTAAGAGTAATGTTTGATTCATGGCAATTAAACAGTTTATAATGTGTGGACGCAGTGGCTGAGAGGAGACCAATCCCTGTACACAGTGCCAAATTTAGTCTAACGTGTGCAAAGAATGGATTTGCTTTAACACTTGCTCCAAGTTCAAGTTCTAATTCCTAAAAATAAATCTCTGCACTGTTCTTACATAGGTTTGTTTTTACTGTTTGATTTCAAACTTTTCTACTTGTCCAGCTGCTGCTTTGGCAATTTAAGAGCCCTTTTTCCCTTTGGTAGCCCCTAGGTACCTGAAGTTTAAAAGACAGTGTGAAGGAACACTGATTTTGAGAATTATGTTTCACCATCTCCAGAGCTGCTTCTGAAGATGGATTGTGGGGCAGTACTAATGTACAGGAGTCTTGGCTCCTCCAGTAGAAAATGAGATGCTTTTGGGTTGCTGAAATGCAGTTTAAGGATGTCCTTGCACCTACTTACACATCTCTCTGCTCTTTGCATATTCCTGGTCATCTGGGCCTTAGGCAGTACAAGTCAAGAGTGACTCCAGGACTGAGTTTCAAGCCAAGTTTGCAAGTCATCCAGACTGTTGACCATCTGGAACAGCTCCTGGACTGGCTCTGAAGCAATCCAGCTGGTACTCGGGCACTCCCTGGACTGCTCTGTGGACAGGCTTAGGCGTTGTGTGCCCAGCCCAGCTGCTGCCTTGTATTCCAGCTATCCTTGCACTAGTGTCACGTACCGTGATCCAAGCCTGGACTCCTTCCTAAAAGGGGCCAGGCATTCCCTTCCAGAAGAGAAGACGACATTTGAATGCAGCCTGAACTCGGGCCAAGTTTTTGATGCTCATAGGAATATAGCTTAGCCTGTGGGTAAGGCACAGTATAGACATAGCCTACAGGCCTCAGAACCCCATAAATAACACAAGGAGAGATAATCCTCTGTCATATAAGGGTGTTGTCAGGATACAGACATGTTATTTTTTGAAATGCTTAGATAACGCAGTTTTGAAGGATGTACCAAAGACAGAAATAACAACTTTTTTTTTTTTTTTTTTTTTTTTTTTTAACCCCAGATTGGGGTTTATCTGAGTAAATGGATAGTTTTTATCTGAGTCTAGTCTAAGCTGGTTGTCCGTGGCTATCTACAGTTGGTAAAAAAAAAAGAAAGTAATTTTAGGCCATGGTTCTTATGAACTTCTCAAACATTTGCTTTAGGAGGAGAAGAACTGTGCCCTAGATCATGTCCTCAGTTGTAAGTGGACATTTACAGTGGCTTCGTTCGGAGCCTTGATGTCTAATTGATTACAATCAAGGCACAGTAATGACAGTCCATGTGTACTCAGACAAGTTAACGGTGTATATAGCTTCATTTTGATGAAGTTGTAGTGGAAGCAGTAGCTAGTTCACAGCAATCTGAAATATTGAATGGTTGTTATTATAGAAAAGACTAGACTGTATTTTAAGACACAACCTCGGAAACTGGCAATATGACTCCATGGCTCCAGCAAGGATCCTGAACAAAGGTGGTTAGAGAATTTCTGTCACAGGAGATTTACCTAGGGAAAAAAAAGCTATTTATTAATTTGTATGTGATTTTTACTAATTATTTCATAATGAAAATGCCATGCCACATGGTGGAGGATTCCGACTACACCATATGCAACTAAGTGGGGTGAGTAAAAAGTTCTTGCAGATTTACTGATAAATTCAGCTATGGTTTTTATAAATACTGCAAATGGCTGTCCAAGTTTTAAAACCTAACTTATTTTCAAATTTTAGTATACTTTGACAATAGAAAACTGCGCTGTCTTGATTGAAAATGTAAGTTCTTTTTAAGTTAGAATACTGGTCGTGAGAATCATCAGAGCCAGGCTAGCACTGCCTGCTGTAAGCTGACTGTGGCTGATTTTCAAGCTTCAAAAGCTTTTTTTTCTATCAAGACCTCATCTGTGGACATTGATCATGCTCAGATCTACTGCAGCGCTAAAAAGAGAAAAAAGAAACTTTTACAGTTTGAAAGGGTCTGACTTCACTGGAAAAATTAATCAAAAGTTTTGTTGCCAACAACTAGGTAGAAGCTGGCAGCTCCTACAATCCAGTGTGTCAAGGCCGCTGTCTCCTAGCTCTTAAAGTGTAGGCCTAACTTAAATAAAATGTATTTTTAGAATGAATATTTTTAGAGTGATTTTAAATCATTTTTTCCTCAGTTTTTAAGATCTAATACCTGAAACTTATCTCTCTTATCGCTCTGAGCATGAATTTCCGTACTAGCTTCTGTAATTGGTGCAGTACAGAAACAAATATTTGTATGAAGGAAGATGTTTTCTCAGACACTTTCAAACTTTCACACATTCATTCTCATTCAACTTTCCTTCATGTTTATTAGAAAAATACAGATAGACTACCCTTGTTCTCCAAACACAATGCATTTTTCTTTCTAATTCAGTTTGTATCTGTAGCATTTATGAGGTTACCATGAGCTGAGGTAACTGGTGATCCAACAACCTAAAAAAGCACTCAGATATCTCTTTTGTTCCTGTTGACAAAATCCCAGGATGTGTTGGCTTTTTAAAGGTGACAATTATACCAGCTGCATTTTTCTTCAGCTTTTTTTTTTTTTAATGTATGTAAATCCACACAATATAATCTGACATTACATTTTTTCTGCATTCCAAAGTAGACAGTATATGGTTTTATTTTCACTTAGAGTGAATAAAAAGGATTCTTGTGAAATTCCTCCTGATAGGAACCAGAAACAAGCATAAGGGAATGCAGATACAAGGGGGAAGGAGTAATGTCCTGCTTATGTATAAATTGAGAAGTTCATTAGGAATGACTAGTAAGGGAAGAGCATAACTGATGAACATATGGGAAATCAGTTTACTTCAGAGAACCGAGGGTGAAAGGGAGGGATGTCTGCTTTTTATTAAAACTTGAAATGCATTATAATTGGCCTGAGTCTTTGCCCAGATGGCTTCTCTTATGCTGACATCTGCAAGAGTGTATATAAAGCAACATTAAGAAGCTGTCTCTTGTGACGGTGTGTACACATGTAATTCTGTTAAAAACTAAGTCTTTTGCTATGTGTAGTGTTGGTCTTTGAGTAATCATGCTGAGAAATGTCATTTGTTTGACAAAAACTAATTATGGAACATGCTTTTTACATGGAAAGTTTCTTCTACTTGTGAGAAAACTTTTCAGGGCTTTTCACCTATTTTTCTAGATTCTTGTTCATTCTTCATCATAAATTCCAGGTGAACTTCTTTTTTATTTTTTTCAGGGGGAAACATGGGGTTTCTTCTTCCAGACCTTTGTATTTTTTCTGCAGTTTAAGTGTAATTATTTTGAATTTTCACATGTGAATTTAAGCTGTTTTCCATTGACCAGTGAAAAGCTTAAATGGTACTAGAACGTCCATTTTTATTAAACTGCTAGGACGATGAGAGTGGATGCAATGTAATATATCCATTAGTCTGTTCACTTGTATCTATAATTCATAGGATAATACTTTTTAAAATAAGCTGTCAACATGTTCCTCCTTTCTTTGTCAGACAACAGGAAAATTAAAGTCAATGGCACCAGGGAACCTATTGAGTTTAAGACAAATCAGTGGTTTGGAGCAACAGTCAAAGCTCATAAAGAAAAAGTTGTGGTAAGTCTTAATCATTTGTTATTCACTTGGAGATAAAGTTTATTTTTCTCAAATGTATATCTTTAATAACTCTCTATGTGTATATTATGGAAACAACTCTGATTATGCACGAATTATAAAACACATGATGTATATAAGGCAGAAAATGAGGCAGTCTATAAAATCAGGCTGAACTGATCAAATGAAGATGATCCTGCTGCCATGTGGAAACGTCAGAATGCCATATTATGGAAGTGAATTATTATTTTTTTTTTAAGCAGATAATGGACATACTTTGGAGATACACAGTAACTGACAGCTATTTGCTATAAAATGTTTTGTATTATGAAGCTTTATTTGTAATGTTAAATGTAAAATGTAATGGAAGCCAAAAGCCTGTGCTGAAGATCAGTTACTAAGAGAAAGCACTGACTTCTGTCACATTTACAGTGTTTTGAACAGCTATGTCATAGTCATGGTAAAACAGCTGCAAAAAGTCATGATAAAAAAAGCTCCAAATCGAGATTGCTGTCAAAGTGCAATGTCTGTTTTCCAGTTTCACTGAACATTTTACCTGTATTGATAGAGGACCCGAGCAGAGAGCAAGTACTTCTATTGGTTAGTAAAGTAGTGGTGGTGCTGCTTATACACAGACATTTTGTATTTACAATTTATGCATTAAAATTTACTTTGAAAATGTTGCTGAAATAATTGTGATAAGAATAATTAGTTTGGTCATTAGTTTTGTTAGTTTTTACAGTTACAAAGTGATAATTTGTATCTTGGGATTTGCTTAAAACTTCCAGTTATTACTTGAGAAGTAGTCATAAGGGAAGAAGTATCTAAAGGAAATGCTTCCCCTTATATAGTATGCCTTGTGATTAACATAGGGAAGGATTTTGACATGAAACAGGTTATGAATAAAACATCACGCTATTCTCTTACAAAGCAAAGTAAATGTAAACTTTTTTTTTTAAATTCTAAAAATAGCTGAAGATTTTTAATTTTGTGTATTCTACTAAACAACAGTTCACAAACTGAAATAAAATAGTTCTTTAGCACCGTTTTCTGAATCTTAATCAAGTGAGCAGAAAACATCATCACCAACTGATGTGCTGTATCTGTACTGACCAAACTTTGGTTTGCTTCTGATAACTCTTCTTAGGCTTTTGGAAACAGACATGTAGTCAACACTTTTCAGACAAAAATTTGAACAGTGAAGCTAGAAATCTTTGTCTTTTAAGCTTTGTAGACTGAAAGGAGAGAAAAAGAAAATGTCATTAATCTGTCAGAAACTTTTTAAGCTACAGATGTGATAGTAGACTGCATTAGGTCAACATTTATGATTATATTGAGTTCTTGTTTCAGTCTGTTTTTCTTGATGTCAGATGTACCTAAAATCGCCCTCACAGGACATGTACTCCTCTTTCCTGCACTCTGATTTTACTCTCTGTTTAAATCTATAAGATCTTCTATGCAGGGGCATGTTAAGAGTCCCTGTTCACTAAACCAGTGTTCCAGGAGCTCTGACTTTTATGGTAAGCTCTGAGTAGCAGTGGTTCATCCGCCTGTTACTGCTTGCAGAATGGAGGCTCATACAGTAATGTGAGCATTAACAATGCCTTGACAGAGGTAGACAGGTTTCTGTTAGGAAAAATAAGACAAGGTAGGACACCCGTGAAGGATTTGTTTGTATGAAGCAAGGTTGTAGGGAGAGGTAGTGTCTTCCCTCGCCCTCCCTGCCCCCAGCCAATTGAAAGGTTTTAGGGCACAGGGACTCCTGAAGAATGACATGTGTACCTGACAGCTTATCTTTTTTATTTTTACAATTCTCTGAATTACTTTCAAAAAATATAATGTAAATCACGTGTCTCTCTACACAACTTCTATATCTTTTATCCTTGTACTGTTTGTAACACTACTGCCATAACATAGAAGATTAAGTATTAGTTCACTAGCCAAAACTTACTTAGCAAAAGCCTGTTCACTCAGAGACTGTTGAATGCGTTATAGCTGTATCATCTCTCCAAAGATTTGAACCAGGGGTTTATAAGAAGGCAGACAATCTGATAATTGCGATAGTCAATATGACATAAAACCCTGACAAGTCTCCTTCTGCTAAGCAGAGTAGAATCATAGCAGTTCTGCTGCAACAGCCATTATCTTAAGACAGATCAGGACAGAAGCAGGAATTTCTTCAGCCACATGTGTGTGATCTACATCTTAAACTATGGGATCAAGTCCTGTGCAATGAGCAGTAATAGAGCAAACATACTACTTGTGAAGCAGGCTTAGAGGGTATTTGTAACATATGCTTAAATGTGAGTTGTAGTCCTTGACAGATTTCACCTGCTAAGGGCTACAAGCAAAAGATCAGACTATGCTTTTCAAGTTACGAAGAAATTATAAGAAGCAGTGGTCCTGCATTTTCTTCTGTCAAAATGTTATGATCATTGCTGTATGAATGATACAATACCGAGAGAATCCTCGTACACTGTTTATTAAAAACACCATTTGCCAGATGCACAATTGTACATGTGACATTGTTTCTGTTTTGTTAGGCTTGTGCTCCTTTATATCATTGGAGAACCCTTAAAGATAGCCCTGAGAAGGACCCTGTTGGCACCTGCTATGTAGCAATTCAGAACTTCAGTGCCTATGCTGAATATTCACCTTGTCGCAACAGTAAGTATTAATAGGAACAATCCTGTGTTGGAGGAATTGATATTGCACCCAATGTTTTCATCCTTTCAGTGTTCACACGGTCTTGGTTGAATGAAGAGTACTACATTACATTATTGCATTGGATGAGGGTTTAAAGAAAAAACAACATTAAATTATATGCCTGCAATTGGATGCTTTATTGTATATTTGAAAGAGGAGAAATGAAGTAAATTAAGCTTATACAGTTATAGTGATGAGATGTAATTGGTTCACTTTAAATGGCTTTAAAATATAGCACAGAGATTTAGATAAGAACCAGACAGCATTTTAAACCAATTACTCATGCTCATGCTGAGTATAAATCTCTCATCACAGGGTCACCATCTGAAGACCAGGCCCTGCACATAAACACACAAGCCTGTATCACCATTTATGCCAATATAACCCACAATAGCTCATTTATGAAGGAATTCCAGCATGGAAGAAAGCCATTCACGTTAGCACTGCTGTTCCTCACTCTTCTCTATGCTGTTCTGAAGACGTGGTAGCAATCTCTGGGCCTTGTTTTTTGGGGAATAGGGAAAAACAGTGCATGTATATTTAGAACCAAGTTCAGTTACGTAGAAGTCTGTATAAAATGCCACACATTAGATTAAATCAGTTGTTCATCCTGTTCAGCATCCTATGTGTAAGGGTCTATGATGATTATTAATACTCTCATTACCTCAGAGCTTCAAATTATTAACATCAATAGCGTCCAGTGACTTTACTGAGCTTTGCACTGGGCTTGGTGTATGGCAGTTTCTGCACTCACAAATCAGAGAATTGCTCTTTCAGTTACTTTTCTAAAGATAATGTATATAAGATAGCCAATATGATGGTCTTGCCTATCCATTCCAGGGGAAACCCTCACAACAAAGCTATAATGTTGTTCAGTTTAGCTGAGATGGGTAGCTGTTCCAAGTAGTGTGTGCTGGCCAATAACACGAGAAGTTTGAATGTTGTTCCTTGTCACAATACCCTTTTGTCCTGGTTCCAGCTGAGACAGTTAACTACGATACCCTGTACAGAGACCCTGCTACTGCAGCTAGCATTCTTGCCCTGTGCACATGGGCTAATTTCAGAACACATCTTTTAACTGTTCCTCTGCTGCAAACCATGCTCCTACCTTCCAGTTTCTAATGGATCATTTTGTCAATAATGTAACAAGCATTTTACAGAAAAAGAAGACATTTCATTCACATAATTAAAGGTCTGTTTAATGTGATGATCTAGAGACAGCATCATACCACGTAGCTGGACTTTCCTGACATCTGACAGATGTGTGATAATGTAGCCCAATAACGCTTTCCATGGTCTACCAGAAAATCTGCACATCTATAGGAATGTGAGATATTTGGATCTATGTTCAGTGTTACTCTGTGGCTTTCCTTTTCTCACATTGTAGTAGAGCTCTAAACTGAGTTGTGCTACATCTTTCTGTTAAGCCTAATCCTCCCTGGATGGGCAGGGGAGGTATAGGTATAGAAAGAAGCTGAATCTGTGAGAAGTGGTGACCCCAAAATCTGCTTCATGTACTTCTGATATCTCACTGGGGCTTTGCCAAAGGCTTATGCCATTTGAAGAGAAAGTTCAGGGGGCCCTTCCTGCTCTCAGTTTCCCAATCCTGCAGGCTTCCAACAATGTAGCACTCATAAGAAAGCCCTAAAATGCATGCCAACACACTTTGTACAATTGTATAAAGACTTGGAGACCAGAAATAAAAATGGACAGAAGCAGGAAGGGTGTTTTTACATGTACAAATGTGCATCCAAAATTATATTACACTTCACTCTTCAATGAGCAAATGCATATTTTTAAAGGGCTGGCCCTTGTGAAGAACATGTGCCCTTTCCCTTGCCATAGTAGAGGTAAACCAGGATGTTGTCTGAATATTAACCCATGCTGACCCATCCACTATGTCAACATTTTTTGAGAATGCCTTAGTAAACATTTTTTGTGTTTATGGCAGAGCAGACTGTGGTGACCACTCTAGGATTTCTTGTTAAGTTTTTTACTTTTGTATCTCCAGCCAAACTCAAACTGAATCCCTGGAAGTTGTTGCAAGGGTCCTTCCTTGGCAGTGAGAGAAGAAAGTCCCAAGTAACAGGTCCCATTTTTAAAAATCTGCATGAGAAGGCTGCATGTTCAGAGTCCTGTAGAAGACCTTGATTTGCTCTGCCTCTTCTGAAAAAGAACACGTGTCTTTTCACATATTTTGGTAGTTTTACATTTACAGCCTTACAGCTCTAGGAGTGTGTAAGCTGTCTTCCACATGCACTGTGAAATCAATAAAATGCTTCTACCTTCACAATTGCAGGCAATGCAGATCCTGAAGGACAAGGCTTTTGTCAAGCAGGTTTCAGCTTAGATTTTTACAAGGTGAGATTCTGCTTCTGAAATACTTTGACCAAATGTGATTCTGATATATCCCCAGCATCCAAGCACTGTCTCAGTGATCAAGTTTATACCCATGCTGTTGCATATGGAAAGTTTCGTGAAGTTGTTCCAAGTTCGTTACTCCTTTGCAATCTTCAAACTTCCTGGTTTCTTTAATAAAAGAAATACTGCAATCAGCACCTGTTTATCTCTTTGCAGCACTCCAATCTGACTCTGCTCAGTCTATCTTAATAGATAATTAGCCAAAAAATTGTATGTGTTTTTGATTCAGTGTGTCCCACTTACAATGCTTTCCAGAGACATGACTTTCAGGAAATAATGGGCAGGCACCACCTAGTTTTTAAAAGTTGAAATAGCTTGTGTAAGGATGCTTTTGGAGGCAAACTAGTAATTGAGTAAGATCTCTTGTGGAGGTGAAAGAGGAAGTGCTTAAGGGAAATAGGTGGTTGTTCTTATATGCCAGGAGGGTCCAGAAACAATATTGTTGGTCAAAGAATAAACTTTGCAGCTATTATCTGTGCCATTATTACAGCACTTATGCTATAAGTGCTACTTAAGCACTAATGCTTAACTTTATTTAACTGTCAATTTTCCTGCACATCCATTTACCTACATCCTTTCCTTGAACCGGGCTATTCTCCTTTATCATGATTCTTTTGGTCATTTAAATTGTTTTTTCCCATTCATGCTTAATTCTGTTGTGTTCTTTTGTTGTGTAATTTTATTCAATTCTGCTTTTTGTAGAATGGAGACCTGATAGTAGGCGGGCCTGGTAGTTTTTATTGGCAAGGTATGTTAATCTGGCGGGTTAATTTGATCTAAGAATTGAACCAGAAAGTAGGGCGGAAAATGTTGTTCTAGATTTCTGCTTTTTCTCAGTTTAAGATAACGAGTCTCTGGTCTTATAGTCAACAAATATAAATCAGAAGAATTGCTTAACAAGCAACTGAGCATAAAAATAATTCAGGGAGAATGCAGGATGTAGACTGTATAAGAAGTGAAACAAATAGAAATAACTATTTTTATATTGGCATTTTAGCACATTTGCCATTTAATTAATAAGCTGACTTTTCCCCTGCAATTTTAAAAGTAGCTAATATTTGTACAGCAAATGTAATATTTTAAAAGTTTTTGTCACTATTTGTTTCTGAACACAACCTTTTATTGCTATCTGCATATATTTTTAGTTCATTTGTGACATCACTACAGTTTCCAAGATGTTGTTTCTCATGTAACTAAAACCTGAAATGGTTTTGGTAAAGAGTCAAAAAGATATTTTTGCTTTAACCTGTTTTGACATATATGATATAGGTGATTCCCAGACTGCCTATAAACTTGCCTGTTGCCAGCCTCATTGATATGTGGTTTTGCATTGCCATTAAATGAGGAAAATCTAGTTGACTATGATAGTAGGGAATTCACAGCTTTGGATTCTCCATTGAGAAATTGCTTCCATTGTTCCACTACTTTGTTCTGTACAGCATCAAAAGGCAGCTGAACCTCAAAATGCTTGACTTTAGTTTGAATCAGCACCTTGAAATGGGTCTGGAGATATTTTTGTGGTGGTTCAATAGAGTCTCAATGCTTTGCTGTGTTGATTTATGTGTACTCTTGAGACTTTCAGGGCAATAATGGAGAAAGATTGAGAGATGTCTACTTTTTGCATCTGTGCTATATTATCCCTTGCAGCTCTGTTCTGATGTTCTGCTAGCCGTGTTTTGTAGAAGCTGGCTATCCTTTATGTCCCTTTCATTTATTAAGTTGTTTGAATCCAGGTCAGGTAATCACTGCAAGTATTGCGGATATCATTGCAAATTATTCCTTCAAGGATATTCTGCGGAAACTGGCACAAGAGAAGCAAACAGGAGTGGCACCACCCTCATATGATGACAATTACATGGGTAAGATAAGCTCTGTGTCAGTTAGCACTATGTTCTAAAAGCATGGGGCTTATATACATGTGAAATGAAGCCCTAATTTACCAATGTCCCAGCTGTGAGAGGATTTATACATGTTCTGCCTTAAGTGCAACAGCAAATCAGTAGTGTGCTAGTTACTTCAATGGGATTATGAACATTCCCAAAATTCTGCACAGCAAGAGGGTTTGAAGGTTGAGATCTTAAATGGCTCATTAGAGTTCTGGCTATATGATCTTAAATAATTAGGCAGAAATACAAAATTTTCCCATTTATATCTTCTTCCTTTCCAAAATGATGGATTGAATTGAAAGTAATTAAAGACTATTTCAGATTTTAATACATAAAAGAAAATTAAGTTCTGCAGCATTTTGTAAAGTACTGCACAAATACCCAATTTATTCTCACTGATATTTAAAAGATACAATTGAAGTAAGCAATAACAAAAGTCAGTTTGTATATATTATGTAATAAATAAAAAAAAAGGCTCATTATGTACTTTTTATTAATACTGATCTCTAAGAACTTGCATGATATTTAGGTGTCTCTGCATGTAAGACAGGTTTTTCTTCACATAATTTTAGAAAAAATGCAGTGGAATTTGTAGGCAAAGATGCATCCTTTCATCTCTGCACATAGATTTGAAAATACAGTCCCTGATACAATCCAAAAGTCTTTACTCTGCCAATAGCAATTATCTCACTGATTTACTAAAGCTCCAGGAGGTACTTCACTGCATCTTTGGAAATCTGACTTCCATATAGAGCTAAAGCAGGATATTCACATGTTACAGTACAGTAATGAAGACCTAAATTGTGTCAATAGCTGCTAGGGCAAACCACCATAGTACCTGCTGCTTTTTCAGATAAACTATAAAGTATTAATGATTTAGAAGCTCATTTTTGGAGAAAAAGGACAGGTTTATTATACATTCAGACCTACGGTTAATTTAGTAATGAGATAAACAATTTTGCTTTTTTTCCACACAGTTTTAGTATACTAATGTTAGAAAAATTGCATTCTGATATCATATGGACAAATCTGATTGTCCCTGCATTTTTTTTTTTAAATAAATGGTTTATCAACTGTATTGCTTGTAATTTATCTTTAAACAGGATACTCAGTGGCTGCTGGGGAATTTACTGGAGATTCTGAACAAGGTAAGAAGCTGCATACTTGAATGGAAACCATATGGCCATGCATCTATTAAATTCCTCATTTTGGGTCTCTACGCAAGAAGATACCTTTTGTACTTTTGAAACACTGGTGAGACTTGAGCTGTCTGTACCCAGTATTCTCAGAGGCTAGTATTTCCTTAGAAGGTGTAGCGTAATAGAGCAGAATGTAAGTAACCTAAAAGTCTGAATATGTGGTTATGGTATCATGCCCATGCCTCTGTTCGGCACTTAGATCTGTGACAGCATGATAGGTGGAGCCATCCAGGCTCACTTAATTTAGACAGTTTGGTGACCAGTAGTGACAAGTGGAGCCAACAGTGCAGTTCCATACAGTCCTTATGTCCACACTCACATTAGTTACGTGTATAGAGGCTGCTGGACCTCAACATGTGGCTGGACAGATGCAACATGTCTTGAAAATGTCTGTGCATGCTGAAATCATGCTTCTGTCTGCCACATAAATGTCACAGCCCAGACTAGGGACAACATTGAGCTGCTTCTGGACAAAGACGTGTCTACACTGACATGCTAGTGCTTGTTGGTGGAAGCAGCTCTTGGCTCTATAAAAGTTTCCCTGGTTGCAATTCATGTTCCTTAAGGATGAAGTGCCTGGGGCAGTTCATTAGCTGACCCTTTTCGTACATTATATTTTCCTGCAGAGGCATAATGCAGTAAGAACAAATTCTCTGTGCTCTTGCTCCTACCCCAAGCCTTATATTTGACAGCAGGAAACAGAAGAATTTAATTCCTTTTATTAAAACCTGGGCACAGAGGGATGGAAAGCATTCTGCAGGACGATGAAGTGTTCATTTAATCCTTTGAATTAGGAAAAGCTGAATGCACATGAATATAAATGTCTGAATACAGAATCATGCCTGAGACTTTGTAAAAGTTCATGGAACAAATAAGTTTGATACAGGACATATTTAGAATAATTTGCCTTTAGACAGCAACTGTCATCCACAAACAACCAGACATCTCACAGGCTTAACAGCATTGCTTAAAAATGTTGTCACTGTGAAACCTTCACCTGAAACGTTTCATGATCTGTAAAACATCACCTTCTAGGACTCTATATTCATAACTTGATAAAGTAGAGAAACATGCACTAAGGAGCAGGTTTTAACCAGAATTACAGGATAAATGTTTTTTTAAATGTGCAGAATGTCACTACATAACTTAGAATTAGCTCAAACGCTGAGGTTCAAGTTGTTCCCTCTAGCAAAAGGTGACACAGAATATTTATTCGTTTCACATGGCTAACGAAAACTGCCCTAGAAAGTGGCAGCTCCAGTAACATAGTTCTGTAATTCCCTCAGGACAAAGTCACAGCCATCCATCCTGCAGGGGCTAGGTTTAGCAACAGTAGTTTCTGGAACACCACTGGGGCTTTAACTAAATACCAACAAGACTTAAACCTCACAGCACAAAGTGCTGTGCAAGAGAACTAAAAACAAACTGAACAATGTCTGATTTTTAAGTTGTAAAATACATTTTGTGGGTGTGTTAGAAACTGAGCACTAGTTTTCGTGTGTCTCTGCAAGTTGAATCCAGTGTAGAAGAAAAGCTCCTTTCACAGCTCTGTTTGGTAGAGTATGTTTAAAATAATCAGTTATAAATAGAAATTTGTCCATGATTTATCTATTTTCAGGTGTTCTGAAATTGTACAGGATTTCAGAACATACAGTTAGCTGAAAATATCAGTGACCCCTAGTCTCATACCTTAAGGTCTATGTTTCTTGTGTAAGGCTCACAGTCTGTCAGAAAGTAGGGGGGGAGTAAGGGGGAGCTTTCTTGAGGAAGTGGTCCAGACTCACAAAGCCAATAGAGACATAGTACATTTCTAGAAATGAACCCAGCTGCCCAGAACTGCTGCTGCTAAATCCCTATAGTGTTAGTTTCTGTCCTGTGCCACTGTGACTTTAAAAAAAAAAAAAAAAAAAAAGAATTTTGGGGCAAATAATATAACGTGGACAAAAAGATGTGTCCCTGGTAGTGCAAGGCTGCAGCCACCTAAATGCATATGTGTGCATATATGTTTTTGTTTTTTTTAATGCATATCCACGTTTTTATAATGGATGGTTCTTGAATCAGGAAGTCACGTGAATGATTGGCACAAAGAATTGCATTGTTGGCTGACCTGAGAATTGTCCTGTGTCCTCTTCAGTCCTTCATTACTACTTCCACCTCCCCTGGACTAAACACATTTGACCACAGGGGAGTATATAAACCCAGAGAGGAACAGAGGAATGCTATGTCAATACAGGCAGGTGTCTGAGGTGCTCTGGTATCTGAGGTTCCTGCTGCTGTCTTCTGATGTGGTTATCCTAATGAGGGAGGGTTTAGACAGTAAGACTGCGGGCTGTGACTTGGCTCTTTTTTTTTTTTTTTTTTTCCTTTTTTTTCACTAGTTGTTTAAGATTTCACCATTGAACAAAATAGCATCCTAGAAGGCAGCTAGGTCCGATACTTCATGTTCTTGTTCAATGAATTCCCTCGATGCCACTCACTAAAATTTCCTTGTAATGCTTTAAATAGCCTGTGGAGAACTTGTTGAACACTTTCATGGCATCAAGCCAAATAACAGATGAAACACACTCTTGTGGAACCAGAAAGAAAAGGTGTATTTGTAAGGACAGTTTTGTTTAGCTTCTGTACTCTAGTGTGTGATGCCACAACTAGTTCTGGTTCTGTCAATCCACAGGTAACAAGCTGATTTGTACTAAGAGCTTGATTATACTGTGCTATGCTAAGTAATGCTAGGTAGAAAGACATCTCTGGATGAGTGCATTCAACAGTTAAGATGTAATATTTCATGCAACTAGATGCACCAAATGAATTTTAAAATCTTATGAATTAGTGTCTTGCAGTGATTTGCAGATGTTTCTGATACAGATAACAAACCAAAACCCTCAGGGTTATATGTCAAGGAAGAATTTAAGTGGCATGGTATGCACGTTGCATGCCTAACCAGTTCACTGATGATCATTTATCTTTTCAGAGTTGGTTGCTGGAGTCCCAAGGGGAGCACAGAACTTTGGCTACGTATGTACTGGACCCACATTTTATCTATTTTATAGTGAGAATGCAGTTAGACCATTTAGAAGATTGAAGTCCACATCATGCTTTCTGTCTCTTTGATCCTAAACTTTCTAATCAGAGGAAACGGACACTGACTTTCACCCTAAGGCTTCCCTGGGTGGGTTAAAATGCCTTACTTGTTTGGGTTTTCAATATTAAGCACTTAGTCCTTTCTGAAGTTTGTTTCCAATAGCCAATTACAAGCATGCTTTGAGTATGACTAGTATCCCCATACCTACTGAGTGTTATCAGACCTAAACTTACCTGCAGATTAGCGTATTTCATTTGCAATGCTGTGTCTACAGTGGAGAGAAGTCCAAGTTCAGATTATTCATACCCAGTGTTAATTTTCAGTGCTCTAAGTATATACACTAAATACCAGATGCAAAGAGCCAGGATATGCAGTTAGAAGTGAAGGGAGAAAACAATATACGTGTGTGGATACATCTTTTACCTCATAGGAAAAAAAAAAATTCAGAAACAGAGATCCCAGCCACAGACACATTCTCTAGTTTTGTGGATGCAAACCTCCTTGTGTTTCTGGAACTTATTCCTACCATTTTACAGAGGAAAGGTGTTTATTTGTGTGTATATATATTTATGTATGTATTGATATATTTCTTTATGCTTTATGTTCATTTTTTTCATGCATAATAATGTAGTCTGATTAGCTGATAGTCTGTGATTTGCTGCTGTTTGTAGTGTACAGTAAGGAAAGAAAACAGTCTTTTCCCCATTTTATTCATGGGGGATCTGAGACTCATAAAATCTTAGTGATTTGTTCAAGATCATACAGGAAAACTGTGGTGAAACAAAATAATTGTTGTTTTTTCTTGGCCACTTGGACCATCCTCCAGTGTGACAGTTTGCTTTGTGGTGATGTTAGACTGCAGCATCTCCATGTGTCCTTGAAACTTTCCATATTTTTCTGTTACCAGGTCTCAATTATTAATTCTTCAGACTTGACATTTATCCAGAACTTCACTGGTGAACAGGTAATGTCAAGAAACTGCGTGATGAAGTATGGTATGTCTAGAGGATGTAGTTCTATTAACATAGTTTCAAGAATATATAAAATATGTTCTAGAATTAATAACCATAGAAACAATTATCAATAAAAACTTTTTAAAAAATTATATCTGATATGAAAGCCTATCTGGTTTTTTGTGTTTTGTTTTGTTTTGTTTTGTTTTTTTCCAGATGGCGTCTTATTTTGGGTACACTGTTGCAGTATCTGATGTTAACAATGATGGGTAGGTTACCAAATATATTCAGCTCCACTGAACATTCATAGAAGCAATGCCTGATATTTATTAATAATCACAGGTTTTCAAGTGCTCCATACCTCAGAATGCTTCTCTTGCTTTCTCTGCTTTCCTGATTTTAATTATTCACATAGGCTTCCCTTTGTGCGATCACAGTGGCACAAATATTTGCAGGCCTAGGTTGACTGAGTTTATATTCCTGAATATTTATTCAAAGCAGTGTGGCAGAGCAGTAATGTCCAAAGTCTTAGGAAACAGATCAAGGTAGAAGAACAGCGAATAAACAGTGCTAGCTACTGCTGGGAAGAGATTGGTGAAAGTCAGAAGTTCTTTCTCCCATTCTCAAAAGCAGGTAAGTCTTCTCACATGTGGACCATCCATAGCCTCACTTCTCAATTTTAAAAGCTTTCCAATGTCATCAGCTTCTCATTCCAGCACCTGCTGGTTGGCCATTCATTTTCATCATTCAGAGGACCAAAAAATGTCTATCGCTCATAGCTGTTATGACAGGCATTGAGCTTGTCTGAGGGAGAATGCTGCTCAGCTCCCAAGGTCACGCCTAAGACACTCTGGGATTTCAGGCCCTGTTGAACAGAACGCTTGCTAACTTTTAACTCGTGTAACATTTGATTCAATGCTTTAGAAGATCAAGTCTTCAGTAAGTGAATATTGATACTAGCTTTCTAGCAAGGAGATAGAGATCACTGAAGCTCAGAACCCTGGAAGTCTTCACAAAGGTGAGCCAGGATTATATTTAGAGCTGTGGCATACTCTTGCCTATTGCAAAAAGTCTCAGATGTGTCTACTTCATGTTCTTTTCTTGTGATTATTTTTTATTAGGTGCTTAAACATGATGCATTAAATAATTTCTCTGGGCTAAATCATTGCTTCCCATCAGTGACTAGTGACTCCTTAAAGAGTGAGGGATACAAGAAAAGAGGAAAGTAACAAGGTGATTAAATGTTATTGCAGTTCCAAAACAAAACAAAACACCTTTGATAGTTTCTGTGGTAGCTTCATAGTACTCAAATCTTTCCAAGTTTCTGAGGTCTAATTTTGTCATAGTGCCATAGCTTTTGAAAATGGCTATTTTTATGGTATACAGAGTCAAGATTAGTTTAGTCTTACCGTAATGTGTTAGTAATGTGAAAGGGTGGAGAAACATTGATCTAAGCTGCAGTAGACACTAATTAGACTTCTGGGGAACTTGCTATTTAATTTCTCACTGAACCAAACTAATTTCTGTGCACGTTATTTCCTGTGAACCATAGGGTTACTTGGCAGGTCTTATATTTTCTGTGTACCTCTAATACCACAGTTTATGTCAGTAATACAATCAAACTGTTGTTGAGGCCTGTGTGGTCTCCAAGTCTATATCTTAAAATAAATCTAATGAGTCTCTCTGAGATCCAAACATCCCACAGAAGACAAAACACAAAAAGCTCAAATTGATAAACATGTCTGATTAGATATGTAGTCTGTCTTTGCTGGTTTGCACATATACTCATCAGAAATATTTATCTGAAAGGGAGAGTAAAAGAGAGAAAAAAAAAAGCAAAAGGGAAATTACCAATTCCAATTCACTTGGGGTTTTTGTGCAGGTAAGGACAAAGGAGGTAGTGATTGCTTCATCAGTACGAGAAACCTGATTAAGTTATATACTGAAAAGATTAATAGAAATTATGCTTTGCTGTAGTAAGACTGAAGACATGGCTCAAAGATTAGGCTTATCCTAGGAAAAAAGCTCTGTGGAGGTCCTGCTCCAGCAGTTCTGCAGGTGTTCCAGGGCAATTCCTGCAGTTTATCTGCACCACATCAGGATTGTAGGCAGAACAGGGAAATTGAGGATATTGTCTGAACTACTGTTTAGTTGCCCACTGCTAATAATGAGAAATCCACGATGAAACTTTACAAATCAAGCTTTGCCATCAATTTACAGACTGCATTCCTAGTAAAGAGGGAGAAAGAGAGCGTTTTCAATTTAGGCTGAAACAGTCCAATAAAAGTAGCAGAATAAACTGTTTACTGGTCTTTTATTTGGCCTATATCAAAGCTTCCCATAGTTATACTTTGACCTTTTGACTTTTCCCATACTCCTGCTTTTTATTACTTGTCAGGATACAAAGAAACTGCATACAGTCTCAGCAGGTGGTCAGCTTGTGCTTTTTAAAGATGTTTTTTATCAGAAGGGAAGCAATACTGTCTAGTTACCTTTCTGTGATGGAACAAAAATATGTAATTTATGTTACTTGCAACATCTTAGTACAGTAATGAAATAAATCTAATGAACCAGTTCAAAATAGCACTGCACACTGAACTGCACTTTATGGTTTAATATTACTGTCCAGGGGCTTTTGCCTTTGCTTTGCTCCTATGGCCTTTTGGCAGGGATCATATCAACCTGAATTTGTCTCAGAAATACAATTTTGTAAATATAAACTCCTACAATTTAAAAGCCAATTGAAATATCCTCCTTCACCAACAAAAATGCTTAATTCTAATCGCATAGGTGCCTATAACCCAAATAAATGACTTGCCTTGACTGCTTGATGTCTGTATACTTTAACTGTAGGAGCTGGGAGGTAGAACTGACTGTAAAGCATGGTAAGCAGCAGTTGCTTGCTTATCACCAACTTGGAGAGGAAACAGGAATAAGTAAATGAGGACCAGAGAGAGCAAGGTAGCTGAAGAATCCGTCATCTCTGGCTGTATTACATGCTGTGACAGTGCAAAAAAAAAAAAAAAACAACAAAAAAACCCCAAAAAACCAAACCAAACCAACCAACCAACCAAAAAAACAAACAAAAAACCCCACCCCAAAACTGTAGCATTGCCTGAGGGAGAATTCCTTCTTGCAGAGGACTTGCTGAAGCAGCTTACCTTGACCTACAGAGCTCAGCACTGATAGAGAAGTGAGAAAAGCAAGAGGGTGAGGAAAGGAAGGCTTTGGTGTGAGTGGGACATGCCAAGACCTGGAGGAAAGGCAAACTAAGTGCTGTGGGTATTCCAGATAGCTCTGCTGCCCATAACCAGTTTAGAAATAGGTCAGCGTGGTTTAGATGACTGCCTTCCTCCCGCCTTTCCCCCAGCACATTAGAAGACGAGCCATCTTAGCTACTGGTTTCTGGCCCCTGGTCCCTGGACTGTTAATGCAGTTTATACAATCATTGTCATATTTTAACAAAGTACAAATTTTCCTAGAAAAATAACCCAGCATTGTGTACTTCCAGCTGAGATGCTGTGTCCCTGAATAAGAGGCTCCAGCTCCAGTCTGCTTGCTTTTTGTCTCACCTGGTGAATCACGTATTTGGGTTAGGTTTCTGCTCAGAGAATTTTACACCACAGTGCATGATAGATAGTCTACATCTCTCTTTTCACCATTTTAGGCACTCTGGATATTGCTTTCCAGACCAGAGTTTTAAAAGTGTCTAGAAATCTAATTATTTTACATGGATGTGCTGGGAGCTTCCTGGCTCTGAATCTTTTGGTTCCTTACCACCTCTAAAAAAATCTTCTCAGTCCTTCATTTGTAAAATATTAATTTAAGCCAAGCTCATCGTTTACTTCAGGTTTATACAGCACATAACACCATGGGGTCCCAATCTTACTGAGAATATCTGGACTGTGACATAATAAAATAATAATTTATGGTAGTGCTGCTGTGTAATGCTCTTAGTATGTGGCACATGTTAAATAACTTGTAAAAAAAAGCATATTCATGACCTGATTTTGTTTTTGCTATTGTTTCATGGCAACCATTTCAGCTGACATTCTGTCCCAGCCATGAACATCTTCCATTAGTAGAGGAGGAATTTTGATGTTTAGTGTGAAAGGAAAATCCCACTTTTGATGTCAAGTCAGCATCTGCTTCCTTCCTTTTTTAGTTATTCATGCCATGGGATAACATCTGACATATAAAGAATAGAACAAACAACTGTACGAAAGTGACCTGACATTTTGAATTACAGTTTCCTTTATGGAAACATACTATAAAACTTAACAGAAAAATCACATTTCTAGAAGTACTTTGTCACAATTTATAGAATGTGCAAGTTCTACAGTGTGATTAAAAGGCTTCTAGATGAGACATTGTGTACTAAATTCTATGGTATGGATCTTAGAACCATAGTATATATCTATGGTAAAGTAGCAGGTGAGCTACTCCGAAATCATACAGGGTTTCTTTTGTCAGGAATGGGAAAAACAATGTAGTACAATTTTGCTAATTGTTTTACTAATGGTAAAGCCTTTGTGAAAGCATCACTATTGAGAATATGATGAACTAAGAGTAGAAAGTTTTCTACAAGTTTTACAAAGTTTGAACCAAGTTTCATGTTAGAGCAAGAGCATGTGTTTTCCAAATTAAAAATTCTGAGATCAAGTAGTACTAGTTATTTGCAGTAATAGAATTCCTTAATATGGATTATCAATGTCCACTGAATATAGTGGGAATTGTCCTATTAGTTTATATGGGCTTGAGCACCCTTCAGAAATTAATCTGATACTATAATTTCCTATCTCAGAATAATCTATTAAGAATATTTCTGCTTGTTATGTGTTTATCAGTCTTGCTTGATTTTATTCTTTGCTGTCTAGTAAAGGGTTTTCCTGCTAAATAAATGTTGGTAACATGTTTTGAATCACCTTCTTTTAGAACAACATGCAAAATATGCTTTGATTAGTCTGTTTTCTTTTACTAATTCTTCTTGCAATAGCAAAATGGACAGAAGGACTTTCCCCTCTAAGCCTCATATTTTTTGAAATTTTATTATGTTCTTTCTATTTACTACTTATTGCAGCAAATTATGTGAGCACAGCAACTACTCATGTAGCTAATATTCAACAAAAGTGTTTTCAGAAATAAAGCTTTAGCTTTGTCTCCCAGCTGTTTGAATTAGTGATGAAGCATTCCCTACTAATTGATGATCTGCCCATGTTTCATGTGTATTACTTCAAAAATCTGCTGGAAAGTGGCAATTTTTTTTCTGTTGTTCACTTACTGATGTATAATTTTTAAAAGTCAGATTTTATACTAAAATTTGTCTTTCACTAACACTGTTAACAGGATAGATCTACACAATTTGTTCTAATAATATGGATCCTATCTGAGTTAAATTCCTGGCTTCTGGACAATTATCTGCAAAGTATAGCTTTCCAGTGTCTATTGTGGGCATAAATTGAAGAGAAAGAAATTCCGTTTGAATCTAGGAAGAAATGTTTATGCTGTGAGGATGAGCAAACACTTGAAGCAGATGATAGGTTCTTGAACCAGAGAGGTTGTGGAGTCTCTGTCCATGGACATATTCAAAACTGGAGTGGGCACGGCCCTGGGCAGCCTTCCCTAGTTGACCATGCTTTGACCAAGTGAATAGAACTCCAGAATTGCCTTCTTACCTCAGTTAGTCCATGACTCTATGATAATTATCAGCTTCCTGTTTAACAAATGCATGTACTGTGTTGATTACACTCAATCTCTCAGTGACACTGATTTTTGTTTGACTGTTCCAGTTTAGATGATATCTTAGTTGGTGCCCCTCTCTTTATGGAACGAGAATTTGAGAGCAAGCCTAAAGAAGTTGGGCAAGTTTATCTATACCTGCAAGAAAGTGCTTTCCTCTTCCAAGATGCGCAAATTCTGACAGGCACCGAAGTGTTTGGTAGATTTGGCAGTGCAATCACGCACCTTGGAGATCTCAATCAAGATGGATATAATGGTAATTTATCTCTAATGTAGTAATATATATCCCTATATAACACTGAAACTAAAAATGGCTAAGCAGTGAATATGAAGTGTCTGTGCAGTGGCTGAAAAAGGCTTTTTAACATGCAACTGCCTTTGAAAATCACAAGAGTTTACACTAATCCTAAAGAAACTGATATTGAGGGCCAAACTATGAAAAGCTTACCTATAGGAAGGCAGTCACATTGACTGCAGTGCTATTTTTTACTAAATATTAACATGTTCATTTGAATAAAATATTATCAGTTGTTTTATGACTATAATTACATTTAAATACTTAGTTAAGATATTGCATTTGTTTAAAAGTGGAGTTCTCTTTCTCTCCTCAAATGCTTGGATCTGTTTGAGAATTGAATGAGACTCAGTAAATGGAGCATTTTTCCAACAATGAAAGAATTGGACAGCTGCAGACGTACTATTTTGGAGTCAGACTTCCGTAGGTACTTAGGCACCAGAAGAAACAGGTGCATAATGGAACCTTTTTCAAATACCTGTAGCACACACACACACAAAACAAAGTGTTCATGTAAGTTAATTTGCAGCCTAAATTCAAGAAAACAGTCCAAATAAACTAACTTGCTTAATTATCTGAGATAGTGTGGATGCTTTGAGCACCTAGAGTTAGCCTCCTAGACATCATCAGTAACACCCTGCTTTTCCCTGAATGCATTTCCTTACTTCTTATTTCCAGGGTGTTAGGGATCTGCAAGGCAGGCACCTCTGCATCTGAAACCCCAAAGGGTTTTCCTGGACTAGATATTTTGCACAGTAGCCCACTGTGGAAAAATAGTGGGCTTTGCTCCTCCTTAACTTGAGGGCTGTTTGTCACAGTGCTCTAGCCACTAGACTCTGGGGCAATGTCACCAATGTGTGGCTCCTGTGCAAACGACATGTCAGGAGCCATAGGACTGTATTGGAGGTTCACGATGCACAAAATTCAAATAGCATTGGGTGGGTAAAAGCCACTGGCTTGTGACTGCTGAGAATACCCTCACTGGGTTGTCCTGGAATTCCACCATGGAGTTCAGCCCAGCTGGACCCCACAGTGGAGACTTCCTGTTCTCTACCTGTGAACAGTAGCAGATAACCTCAGCTTCTCTGGGCAGAGAAGGTTGGTACCCCTGCTCTCCAGCATTCTGGTAAGGCAGGGAGGAGGCATTCC